AATGTTAATTCCTAATGGAAACATAAGTTTGTTTGTTTGTTTGTTTGTTTGTTTTTTAAGACAGGGTTTCTCTGTATTGCTTTGGAGCCTGTCCTGGAACTAATTCTATAGACCTGCCTGGCCTCCAACTCACAGAGATCCGCCTGCCTCTGCCTCCTGAGTGCTGGGATCAAAGGCTTGAGCCACCAACACCCAGCCTATGTTCAATTTTTAAAGACTTGGTTGACACCATCTATTACTAAGCATTTGTTTGCATAAGTGCTGCACACATTTGGAATATTCAGTTATTTCTCTTCTATAATTTCCTTTGTTAGTAAAGACAAAAGTGACAGAAAGGACCTGTGTCAGTGGGAGTGATTTTTGCCCCTAGAAGAAAGGGGTGCAATGGCACTATTTTACCCAGGTTTTAACTAGCTGTAAAAGTGAGACTAAGGGTGCGTAGGTGGGTTCTTTTTTTTTTCTTTTTTTCCTTTTACTTTCAGCATAAAACCTTCTATTTTCTTTATGTTGAACAGCTCTAGTCTTACTGGCTTATTTTTCCATTAAGACTTTCATTTATTTCACCAGTAATGGGCTTCATCAAGTGTAGTTTTCAATTCAATTACTTAATGGGCCTTTAAACTTCTTAGTCACCAAATTTAATCAAATTTGTGATTTCTTTGGTTTTCCCTTTCCCATTTGTTTGAGAGCATTAATAAGAATTCTGAGCCCACAAATGCTTACTGCCTTAATTTTACAATTCAGATATCTATCCATCCATCCATCCATCCATCCACCCAATTATAGTTCATCCAGATAAAGATTATTTTTTTTTCATTTTCTAAAATGTAGAAAATTAAGCACTAAAAGTTTAATTTTGAAACTTAACCTTCATTACTTCCAATTCAGCTAAGTAATTTAAAAGTGTGGCCTATGGTCTATAGGTAGTTACATACATAATGTTAAAAAAAACACATATTACATAGAAATGTACAAATAATATCATCTTTTACTTAGGCAGACCTAGATTCAGAGTCAGGCTTGCACATCCAGCCTTTGTGCAAAATGTGTATTTATCTCCTCCCATCAATTAAAGGGAAGTGATTTTCATGTATAAAAAAGGAATGAGAATTATGTAAAAGAAATACCAGACAGATGTCTATAGCAAACTCCTGACATACTACAATGGAAAAAAGTATTAATCCAGTCTTAGTCTTTCTTCCCCTTTATCTCACATTAGCCGGTGCACTGATGTTATGATGCTTCTATTTATTTTAGGAACATCATTAAATTCCCTCCTGCAAGCCTAGCCCAGAAGCGAATATCTATTATTCCAGCACTGAAACGATGGTGCCAGAAGTTGGAATCTGAGGCTATACCTGAGCAACCCAGAGAAACTGTCTTAAAACTAAACAAACGAACCAGCAGGCCTAAAAGTAGAGGCTTATAAGAATATGCTAAGGCAAAAAGATTAAGCGCTATATGGACTAGACAGAGTGAATTCAAGGCCAGAATGTGTAACTTAGTGAGTCCTTTTTCAACATGTGTAGCCTGAATGAGGTCATGAGTTCAATCCCCAGCACTACTCACACAAACAACAGCCACAATATTATAGTCAAAACACTACCGAGATCCAGGCATAGTGGCCCACACCATTCATCCCAGCACTCAGACAGCAGAGGCTGGCAGATCTCTGTGAGTTTGAAGGCAGCCTGATCTAGCATTCCAGTATAGTCAGGGCCACATAGATGGGCCTTGTCTCAAAACACTACCATAAAAAAACTTGCCTTAAGCAAAAGCAGCTTGGCAATAAGGATCCACAACTTGAGAAGATACCCAGGATCACAATGAAACATCAAAAGTGCAGTAATTGTTTTATGCACAGAGATGTTCATTTCAGTGTTTCTTATATAACTACAAGAAATTAGAAATTCCTCAGGAGAAATTCACACAAATATTACATAGTCATTAAAAAAAAAAGCAGACAAAAATAACTGGCTTAAGAAATGTTTATACCAGTTTTTTTTTCTAAAAAGCAGGAAATTACTTATGTAATGAAATTTCAACTGTAGGAAAACAAAAACCCATACTGGAAGGAAATACAAAGGGCTTATAGAAACGGTTATATAGTCTTGAGGTTGGTGACTTTATGTTTATTTCTTAGTTTTCTAAAATAATCAACAGTGAAATGAGAACAGTAGTGATCTGTGAAGTACTCACTAGATGTAGGCCAGGTTATAAGAGCTTATTGTGCTAACTCATTTAGTTCTCGCAACATAATCAGACAAAAATCGGAGACATTGTAACCTGCTTCCAGTTACACTGAGAATTACAAAGGGCCTGCCTTAAAGTGTCTTCTCCTGATGTCCACCCCACACAGGACAGCTCTAGCTTATATCAGGAAGTCAACCATTAGAAAGGCACCCATTGATTCCAACTGTATGGTTTTCACAGCGACAACAACCAGCTCCCCCTTGGTGCTGAGTTCACACAGCTCCACTGTCCTTGACTGCCTTTTGGGAATAAGATGTGGCCACCACTCTGGTATGGGACTTCAGAAAAATCAAAAGGCTGCCACATGTGGCAGTGCATGCTTTGATCCCAGGATTTGGGGTAGGAGATGGCAGCAGAGGCAGGTGGATCTCTGTGGGTCTGAGACCAGCCTGGTCTACAAAGTGAGTTCCAGGACAGCTAAGGCTACACAGTGAGATCTTGTCTCAAAAGACAAACCAATCAAAACAAAAAAATTCCAAGGGAAAACTCCATCCTCATTTCCTGTTCCAATATTTCATTTGACCATGGAGACATTTGAAAGCTAACATTCTTATCACACCAAGTGACAGTACTTCCAAGAACACTCCCTAGAAGTCCCAGAAACACCCAATCAAGCACTTTGCAAACCTCTCTTCACTAACCTCTTCCTACTTCATCACAAACTATCTGTTCTCATAGCCATGGGTCCTACTGTGAATTCATCCCCTCTCTGACCTGCCAGACCCTTGCTAACACTAGTTCAGTTGGCCCTCATCTTGTGAGAAATTTTACTCACTCTAACCCTTTCTTTTTTGAAAGGGCACTGTTCTCCATGGTTTTGAAAACCTCATCAGTTACTCATACTCTAGTTCAGCTTTCTCAGCCTTTGCCAGTAAGCCAGTATGGGAAGGGGTGGGAGAGGGAGGAGACACGAGTCTCCCTGGCACCCATACACCACTTTTTTTTTTTCCTTTTTGAGACAGAGTTTCTCAGTATAGCCCTGGCTGTCCTGAACTGGTTCTGGCTGACCTAGAACTCAAAGAGATCCACATGCCTCTGCCTCCTGAGTGCTGGCATCAAAGCCCTATGTAAGCATTCTTTATACCTGGCAAAGAAAAGCAACCCCCATTGCTCTGCATTCCTCTCTTCTGTTTATACTATAGGTTACATTTACTTCATGTGAGGCGAACGTGATAACCACTATACTACGGAAACAGCTCCAAATTTACTTCATGTGTAACTTGATTTGGCTTCCTTGTAACCTGATTTCTTTTCCTAAAAAAATGTTTGCAAAACCCAATAGGGTTAACAAATACAAGAAATTCCTCTAAGTATAGCTTGTTCACATTTCAACGTAATTTATTCAGTTTATAAGAAAACTGAATGCACACAATCACTTTAACATTATATGAGTAAGGAAAAATCAGTCATGAAAACAATGAATATAACAAATACAGATAACAAAATACAGCTAGGATAATATTTTTTAGCCCCCAAGTCTATTCTGTTTATATCATGTAATGACAAAAGGCTTTTAGGAATGGAGGTAGAAATACAAAAAATGTTTGTTACAGGTCTTTCAGTGGGAGGAAGCACATGAAGGCTAATGGAAGGTGGAGGCCCCTTTTCAGAAAAGGAAACGGAAACACTCATACTGCAATATGCTTATATTGCCTCAAGTGAAAACAGTGTTGCCAAACCACTATTCACCCACACCCAAGTGCCAAGGATTTTAAAAGAAATCCGAACCTCTAAACTAGCATTTTCCCTTTGCAGTTCCAAGTTTTCACCCGGGACAGCCATTCTCTAGAGCAACTGGGATGCAGGGCAAGGGGTAGAAACCATCACCCCTCCCCCCAAAGCCCAAATTCTCCTACTTCATTAAGTACACTTTCTTATCAGTCTTAAATAGGGATTTTTGGGATCCTAAAGATGAACACATCTGAATGGGCATATTCCAGACAAGTCGGTTCCAAACACCGATTTCACCAAACACTTGGCACTTAAGCATCTTTTTCTTTGGGGGAGGGGGGACGACGATAATGCTTACGTATTCACTGAAGCCATTACTGTTTTACAGCAGGACAAACTAAGCTGCCTCATACAACCTTCCCAATTAGTGGACAGCCTCCAACTTCGTTTCTACAGTTACCGCCGCTGATCTGCGATTGGCATACCAAAGTGAAACTGTAAACAATCCCTGCAAAGCCCACGTGATTAAAAAAAAATTAAACAACGCGAGATCATTTCTAAGAGGAAGAAAGGCTCTCTCGAGGCAGTCTGATAGCGGTGGCGGGTCTGTCTGTGTGTCGGCGGCCGTTCCCCGTGGCGCGTACGGACAGGGCAGGGACAGACGTGCAAACCCCACAAACCCCCGCAGTTACAAACATTAAGGCGATGTAAACACACGCCGCCAGGCCAGCGGGCCCCCGGGGAAGACCGAAACTGCGGGGTGTGAGCTCCGGGACAAAGACCGGCGACCTCGGCCGCTGGCACGGTGCGGCCCGACAGGCACCGCAGCCGCCCGCCCCGGCAGCCGCCCCTCCCGCCTCCCCGGGGGCGCCACCCGCCTCGCCCGCGTCCCGCAGGGCGCCCGGGGCGGCAGCTGTTGGGCTTAGAACCGCGCCGTCGCCGGCGGGCTCCAAACGGCCGGGCCGGGTCCGGGACAGCGGGCAGCCGAGCTCGGTCGCCTCGGCGCGGCGGCGGGTCGGAGCTCGCTCGGCCGCTTCCGCCCGTCCGCCCCGGCCACGCACCGTCACGCCACCTACCCGGTCCCACACCATCCCAGAGGCCTCCGGCGCTCGGGCCTTCTGCCGAAGCGGCGCTGCCTCCCGTCCGGGGCCTGAAATGGCTGCGGAACAAAGAGAATCTGGGCTCGGGCGAGCGCCGGTCCGATTGGCCGGGGGGCGGAGCCCGGCGCGGGAATCTTCGGCGGCGGTCGCCTTGGCAACGGCGGCGGGGCTGGGAAAACCGCGACCTGGGCCTGCGGGCCTGCGTCCGTCGGGCGGCGCACGGCAGCGGTTTCCCGAGCGGACCCCGGGGCCGCGGCCTCGGCCTCGGCTCCTGCCCCGCGCCCGCCTCACACGCCCTCGCGCCCGCCCGCCGCCACCTCGCAGGCCCAGCCCGGGACGGCCTAGACGCAGGGCCCTTCCTAGAGGTGACGTGCCCGCGCCACACTCGGGCGCCCCGCTATTGCCCCCGAGCGACACCAAACACGCCGCCGGTCCCGCACTGCAACAGTGGCGGCTTCCCCGGTTCCAGGCAGGAGGCTGTGGGCGACCGCTGCCTGCTTGGTACCGGGCCGGCGCCTGAGATGTGCTGATCCTGCACTGTATAAACCAAATGCAACTATTTAGAAAATTAAATTAACTCTCCAGGTATGCGTCTAATATAAGACTAGTTCGAGCTTGAGAATAATTAAGCTCTTCTCGCTTCATACAGCCACCACGAGAAAAGTACTGTGATTTCAAGGCGAAAATGTTTTAAAATGGGAGAGGTAGACATTTTAAAACCCAGTTGTCATGAGGGTAACGAATGGATACGAATTGTTCTCCTTCCCCGCCCGATTATTTTTATGCAGATTTACTCTGTGTGAATCTTGTAAAAGTGCATAGCAAGGTGCTCCTTATTTCCTAAGGTGAGCTGTCGGTGAGAATTATCCTTGTGCCACATATTTGCTCCTCATCACTTTATTTATAAAGTTTTAGTACCTAATTGTAGAGAATGTTAAATATTTACTAAGACGGCTTATTTTTAAGAAACTTAAGAATCTTCTATTGTAATACTCATTACAATTGGTTTAACTCACTTTTAGACTAAAAGATGGTTTTATTATGAAAAAGGTTTTATTATAAAAGAAGATGAACATAGAAAGGGAATATTTAAAATAACTAAAATATGGCCGGATGTGGTGGTCATACCTTTAATCCCAGCACTGGAGGCAGAAGCAGGCTGATTGCTGAGTTCCAGGTCAGCCAGGACTACACAGAGAAAACTAGTCGAAAGAAAGGAAGAAAGAAAGAAAGGAAGAAAGAAAGAAAGAAAGAAAGAAGGAAGGAAGGAAGGAAGGAAAGAAGGAAGGTAGGAAGGACTGAGAGAGAGAGAGACACGAAGGAAGACAAATAATTAAAATATACGTATCAATATCTTATAATGTTAACTTAGTAGACGTTGGATAGTGTAATAAGAGGAAATATGTTCCTAAGAAAAACAATGTAATGTAAACCTTTCTCCAGAGCTGTTGATGTGTCTGCAAGTAAATTTACTGCAGGGAAAATGCAAACAGGTCTTATTTTTGTACTTAAAAGGTTGCATTGTAGAATAGGGACGTGTATAAGATTGTGAACTGAATTTTACATCACTGGAGTTTAAAAACAAAATTTTGTTAAATCTAAAAGATTAGGGGCTGGGGTTAGAACCCTTGTTTTTTCAGAGGCACTGCACCCTATTCTTGAACTTAATGGTAGATCATAACTTCATAATTCCAGTCCCAGGGGATCCAGTGCCCTCTTCTGACCTCCTCAGACACCGGGCACACACAGTGCAAAGACATACATGTGAGCAAAACGCTCATACACATAAATAGATCAAAACTAATCAGAAAGATTAGCAATTAATGACAGTTATAAAACCTACCAAGCAATTAACATGGATTCACCTAGATAATACTTTGGGAATACATGAAATTAATTGGAAGGGAGGAGAGATTGATTATTAATTCATATATGTAAGAGGATTTAGTCCCTCATAATCTTAAAAAATGCTTGGTTATCAGATGTTATAAAATTGAGATGAGGCAAAGCAAGAATCTATTCTTTCATAACATTGAAAAGATAACATTACTGTAAAGTGGTTCTGGGTAGCCGGGTGGTGGTGGTGCAAGCCTTTAATCCCAGCACTCGGGAGGCAGAGGCTGGCGGATCTCTGTGAGTTCAAGACCAGCCTGGTCTTTAAGAGCTAGTTCCAGGACAGGCTCCAAAGCTACACAGAGAAACTTGGTTTCAAAAAAACAAAAACTAAAAGCTCATTAATTAAATAAAGTGTATTCACATTAAAAAAAAAAAGTGGTTCTGGGTAGAGAGATGTTTATCTAAGCAGCCTTTGTCTCTATCTTTTAGCCTAAATTTAGCCTAAATTTAAAATGTGTTTTAAATAATAACTCTTATCCATCGTTAAAGCATATTAACATCGCTTCTTTCATTTTCCCTTTGTGCATATGATAATGGCTACTTGGTGGCGTTTTTCTCTTTGTATTTCATGTGGTTTAATGCTGCATCATTGCTGGCATTTCTCAATTACATGTTTTGAAATTTAAGATGGTAAATAAATTTTCCTTTAAACTCAAAGCCTTTATACTCTTTAATTTCTATATTATTCTTTTCTTGGGTGAAAAAGTTGACAAAGATAAAAAGCAGAGAACATTAACAGTTACAAAATGGCACCCCAGTAGGACAATAGACACTTGGGAAAACAGACACTTGCTTTCTTTGTCAGATGTGGCATCATCAAAAGCTGTGTGACACTCAGGAGGCCATGGCCCGCATCCAGATGCCAGCTTTGTCTCTCGCTGCTGCATGTTTCCATTCTGTCTGTCAGAACTTTACTTTCTCCGTCTTAGATAGGACTAAGTAAGATAAAGCACATGGGGAGTTCAATAGCAATAGCTAGACAGTGAGGAAGCTGGACAGTAATATATGTAAATGACCACGTTTGCCTTCAGGGGAATGATTTTGAAAAAAAATAGATCCGGAAGTTCAAAACTTGCTACGTATCTTTATTAGGCAATTATTACTAATACTTTTGTTATTTTAATAATAGTTTCATTAGCATTAATAAAATATTTATTGTTAATAATTACTAGTATTATATAGAAATTCACCAAGGGAGCTAAAGTGATGTTTCAGGTAGGCAAGCTTTAAAACAGGGTACTTCCAATGTTCCAGTTGTGTTTCTGGAAGGATACTGTTATCTTACCCTGTACCCACTGCCCTTCTTAACTCTTTATTATTTAACCCCAGACAGTTTAAGGAATTGTCTTCTGCTTTGAAACATCTCCAGGTTGACATTAAGACAAGTCTTTCATAAGTAATAATTTAGGAGAATTTAAAAGTGTTAAAAGAGGACAGTTACATTCAGGAATATGTAAATAATCTATAGATATTTCTTATTTAAAGCAAACCCTTATATAAGGCTTTAATTTATAAAATGACAAATTAAGAAGTTATTACTAAGTGGGAAAGGATTAACTTCAAAGTTCCTTGAGCTATTAATAACTCCTAGTAATTAAAATATAATTCTATTTATAAAAAGGGCCTACTCAGATTCCTGCTTCTGGGAAGATGAAGTAGACACTGTTCACTGTTCTCAGTACAGCTAAAAGTCCCGGTCATTACGTAGAAAACCAACAGAAGACGAAGCTTCTGGTAGAAAACACACAGACTAAGCAGGGACTTTGGAACTCAAGGAATGACATAATGACGAATTCTGGGTTTTCTTTGGCCGTATAAATCCCACACTTGAAACTGAAGACTCAACAAGCTGGAAATACCAATGGCTCAGACCAAACACAAAACAACAGAGAAGTTCCATCAAAACACTGGGCTCTCCAGCAAAAGGGGCAGCATGGAATACAGAAAACTTACAGGGGGAAACAAAACAAAACAAAACAAAACAAAACAAAAAACTGGTTAAATCAGCAAGAATCAAAGAAAATTAGAAAACATCCCATCCCTTCTCCATGTCAACAAAGACCTAATAGAGAGCCTAGATGTCTGCTCTTAGGCAGTTAGAGAAAGGTGTCTGATTCCTTCTTCCTTAGGATGATGTCTATAATTTTATCACCTCTGAGGCCTTCTCTCTTCAGCGTCAAAGACACTTGGACCTCCATGGGCAACAAGCATGTAGGAGGTGCACAGACAAAACCCTTACATATACAAAATAAAACAAATAGATATACCCCCCCCAAAAAAAATTTAGTGGTGTTAGAATTGCCTGACAAGAAGCTTGGCAGAGTGGCCCACACATTTAATCCCAGCACTCAGGAGATGGGCAGGTAGAGCTATTTCTGTGAGGTCCAGGCTAACTAAGGCTACACAGACACTGTCTCCAAAAACAAAGAGAGAAAGAGAGAGCCTTAATGAAATACAAAAATATAAAGAAAATAAAGTGAGACATTCAGAGCTGAAAAATAAAACTATCATACTAAAATGTGGGGACAAATTTAACAACAGAGTAGAGGAAGCAGGAGGAGAAGAGAAAACAAAAACCTGGTAAAGAAATTATCTAGTCAAGGAGAACAGGCTGCAGAGCCATTGAACAGTTATCATGGGACTGGTTCACCATAATAAATGGTTCAATAGTGGATCATCAGACTTCAGGGAGGAGTAAGGAAAAGGATTATTTAAAAATCTAATAAATAATAGCAGAAAGCTTCTGAGGTCTGTTGAAAGATATAGACTTATAATTCAAGAAGCTGAGTACATTTGAGCAAAGGTCTCTGTAGGCGGAGTTTTCCTGTCCTGACTGCCCACTCACAAATAACCAGCAGCCACTTCCCAAATAACTGACTCAGAGAATTATTATAAATGCTCATCCAATAGCTGACGCTTGTTATTAGCCTCTTACATTTAAATTAATCCATGAGTTTCTTTCTCACCAGGTCCTGCTGCCCTTTGCCCCAAATGAGCAAACAGACACTATATTAATTATAAAATTGTTGGCCGGTGACTAGGGCTTCTTATTGGCTAGCTCTGTCTTAATGAATAACCCAGTTCTATAAATCTGTGTATTTCCACGTGGTCTTGGCTTACTGGAGAATGCCTGGGCCTGTTACTCCTTTGGCGGCTACATGGCATCCTCTTGAGGTCTCTCTCTGACTGCCTTTCTCGGAATTCTCGTCTCCTAGTCCTGCCTGTCTTCCTGCCTCTATT